TGGGTTTTTACCCTCTGTTTACCCCCAAAAACGCAAAGTATTTTGGGGATGTGAAAGGAGAGAATAGGGGAATTATATAGGAAAACACAGGCGCGCGCGAAAAAAATAGTTCTAGTGCGTTTTTTGATTTTTTTTGATTTTTTTTTTTTTTTTTACCCTTTCTCATTACGGAGGACATTATCTTGATCTCGAATTTAAAAAATAAACAATTTTTTTAATTTTTCCGATTTTATTTCACCATTCACTTTAATCTAGCCTGTGAACAAGGCTCTCGGCCCTCCCCGGAGAGCCTCGTTAACTGGCTAACTTGAATCTAAATTGGGCTCCCTGTGGTGTCACCTGTGGCGTATAAACCTGGCTTTCCAAGTGTCGGATCAGAGCACCCGCAGTTACTCAGATATTATACAAAAGAAAATACAAGAACCAAGAGTCCTATGTGAAAGGTGTTTATTATCTCAAACCACAGTACATCAAGTCTTTATATATTTATAGTTGTCTCTTGCGCCATTTTGTTGTTTTTGGCTCAAAGACTGACATTTTAAACATGGACATTCACAGCCTACAACACTCTTACCACCTCGACTTGGATACAAAAAACAGGAACATGAATTCTAATGCGCCGACTTGAACTCATTGAAAGAAAATTCTCTTTACAATACTTTAAAACCTATAATTTAAATTAGGCTACAAAGCGGTTTGCACATCAGTATCCACTTTCCTTGAGATGATGTCAATGGAATGGTGAGGCTTCTAGAAGTACTACTGTACTATTTCAACAGCGGAAGGTATATTACTCAAGAAAGAAGTTGTCCACATTTAAATAAGCTTTTTTTGTTTTGCTATTAAAAAGTAAATGGCCCAGTGCGAGATTTGCTTTTTCTAAGAACGTTAACTTCGTGGATTAGATTTGATTTCTTTGTAGATATAAGGGAAGGTTTTGTATACCAGGGTGATCATTAAATAAAATAGTTCTAATGGGAATGGGAAAAGGGTTTTGCGATGAAAATTACAATTCGTCCTTCTTGACAGCCTCTTCAGCACCTTCTTCTCCTTCTTCACCAACTTCTCCCTCTCCCTCCTCTGGTGGAACGGACTCGTCTTCACCATCAGGAGTAGGCTCCTCTCCTTCAGCTGTAGGCTCATTTCCTTCTTTGCCGCCAGACTTAAGGAACTTAACAAAGTCATCATGGGTTCTTCCTCCATTATAATCAACAACCTGTATTCAATAAAAGAGCTTATTACAGTAGAATTCAAACAAGATACACTTTAAAAATATTACCATGCAAAAATAACCTATATTAAACTATAAGTAAATAAATAAGTAGGGTGCTGGTTGTTTTAACCATGGTTTTAGTAGGGTGTTGGTAGGTGGTCAGTAAGGTGTTGGTAGGTGGTCAGTAGGGTGTTGGTTGGTGGTCAGTAGGGTGTTGGTTGGTGGTCAGTAGG